TACAGGATTGGTGCCCTGTTTTTGCGACGAATTCCAAGTCCACCCTCATCCACCAGTCAATAGGTGATATCTCAGATGTCTTTAGAGAGATATCACCTAAAATGCTGCATAACCGTTTTCTGGATGAGAGTGGTATTCATACACATCAAGGGAAAAGCCAACATCTGTTAGCAAGTAGCAGCAGGAGGTTTTCATTTGCAACCGCAATCATTCAGTTGCACTGGCGCTATCCAGTTAGCATGGGATTTTCATAAAAATCGGTCGAGACAGAAAACAGTGGCTGGCTGCTAATAGGTGTGGCTGCCAGTGGTGAGTTGATAGCTGTTTTGGGAACGCAGCATCTCATCAGTCTCCTGCACGATGAGCAAGGCTCAAGTGCTAGTAACACTTGAAAAAAGTCCAAGTTTAATTCATTATAACACCACTCATTCATAGGGCAGAACTGGCAAGTACGAAGTGCAGGGAAAGTGTTGGGGAGCCTCTCATACTTCAGCTAGAACAAAGTAACAAATTGCCATCATAATGACTTGCGGCCCAAGCGCCATCCTACATGTCACAAGATTTGGCTTGACAATAAAATAATGATTTTGTGAAATAATTACCCAGGGCTTCCTGGTCTCTCCTCCACATTCACATTGTGGGGTGATATAATAAAAACCCCACAGACTTGCTGAAATATTCACAGCAGGGGACAGAACCCAAGAAACAATACAGACTACATTGCTGTGAAAGATGAACAGGGAGGATAAATGTATTTACAACTAGCAACATTTTAATGACTAAGAAACAAACATCATCTTAATCCTGGGAATTTACTGCACTTAGTGTCATTCCAAAATCTAAATCTGAAGAGCGAAACTCACCTGGCAAAAACATGCTAACTAGATTTTGAGCGAGCTATAAGTCTGGCCACACAACCCAGGGCACGGACAGATGTACAGTGATAACACTGCAAGAGACATGAGAACTTGCCTCTCAGAAGGGCACATCATCTGGTCAGCGGTCCACCCTGCACTAAGTGGAGATAAGCCACTGATAATTTGCCCCTGAATGAAATCAGGGTTCAGCTTTTGGTAATTGGTTCCTCACTTTTTTTACATCAGTGTTTTGCCTGCCCACATCTTCAACATTAACCCACCACTATTAGTTGTATCACTCAAGTGAATTCTACAGGCCAATGAATTCCAGCAGGTCCCTGGTATACACTGCAATGGTGCCAACTTCATATCATTAAAAAGCCCGAGAAAAGGGTTGGAAAGCACGAAGATATCAAAACATGCTCAAATGGTATAAGGGGGAAAGAATGGCTGCAGACTCGCACACCTGCTTCTCCCACTGAAATCACTTATGTTCAATCCCAACTGTAGTTCTTATTCGATTTTTCAACCTACCTTAAAACTAGGTAGAAATAGTTTATGTCCAGGGATCCAGACAGATTCAGCCTCTGCCCTGTCTCAACTGCATTTTATTCTGGCAACAGGTCTGAATTTCTCTCTTCCCCCACTACTTTTTGGCAACAACAGAGGAAGATGAATGGAGCGCACTATCTTCCTGGTTGCAGCATGACTGAATTTCTCAGGCTCCTGGCCAAAGTAGACTCTTGGCTGCTGTTCACATCTTAGGAACTAAATGGATTATGATCTTAATAGGAAAGCCTCCAGCAACAGATGTGACACCTGTATCGTACCCTTAATTCACATCCAAAGTGATCAAACAGACATAAATTTCCAGATCTAATCTTACTCCCTTTTTTTTTTTTTTAGCTTTAGAAAGTAGAGCCGACTTGCGATAAATCAAACTCTAGGACCAATCATGTGCCTCTGTTCCCAATTCTCTCAAAAGCAGCAGCAGCAGCAGCAACTAGAACCTCAAAAGTTACAGTTCTGCTTTATCAAGAGCAAACTACATGCTCTTGAAGGAAAGGAGAGCTTATAAGAGAACAACACAGTAAAAGCCACAACTATGCAGGACTCGTAGCAAGAGATCACACGTGCATGTAGACACTCTGTGCACCAGGAAGTGGGGAACTCTAGCAAATATCTAAGTCAACTAAACAAGGAAAATTCCTGCCACAGTGCAGATTTAGCCTGCTGTAACTTAGCAGGCATTCACAAGGCAGAAATGGCAGCTTTCTGTATCATCTTGACAAGCTCTTGGGCACAGTCACCCTTGTTCAGGCCCTTTCTTGCCAAGAATTTTTTTCCAACTATTTAGTTGGTCTACTAAAAGATATCACGTCTACCCAAAGAACTTTGCCTGCCTATGTCCTTAGACCAACACGGCTACAACCCAAAACCCAGCAGCTTTATGCATTGGAATGAACATGCTTTCTGGATTTCCATTATTCAGATATTAACTCTGATGTCACCTTTTGGCTCCATTCTGCTTTCTATACAACACAGAACTTCCATTAATGTTAATTCCACTTGGCTTCTCAGGATCCCCATTATGAGCCCAAGCGCTATTGAAATTCACTCAGAGTTGAGCACCTCATTCTCTGAAAGCTCTTCTGAAATGCCCACCTTACCAGCTCCTCCACAAAATGGGAATCTGCTCTCATTTCAGGGAGGAAAAGGACCCCAGGCATTATATATAGGGTGATGTGCAAGACATTTTAGCTTATGGATGCAAGATATAGAATACTTCCATATTTCATTCAATGTCGCACTCTCCAAAATTCACTAGTTTTATGTCTGGGCTGCAATCCAAGTTTGATTTAATACTTTCCATATTTATTCTACCATTAACTTTTACAGACAGCATATGTACAGGAAGGCATCTACAAGCTCAAATACTAGATCAAATTCATCCCAGGTGTAATCCTATTGATTTCAAAGGGCTTGTACAGAGCCTCAAATTCACCCACTACGCTGTATATTTACACACATTCACAGGATATACTGCCTCTCTACCCACACATCCCTATTTCCCAAGTATTTCATGCTTCTATACAGTAGAATCTTTCATCCCAAAGTGCTTTACAAACAAGCAGCTCTGTGAACTGTGCAATTATTCCATCTACCACAAAAGATCAACCATTTCTAGGGTGGAATGTGGCAGCTGTTTAAATGACAGTGTCACTAGGTGGTGGCTTAGGACAGAAAATGAAACTGGAATGTAGACACAGGAAGAAGGAAAGACACCCTGAAGGTTAACATCTTGCAAAAATATTCAGGCAACTTTGACCACAAGGACTTTGATGGACAGTTTTATTCACAGGGCCAAAAACAGCACTTCCAGCACTCTGTGGTAGCATACTGGGTCATTGCTCCCCAAGAGGAAAAATATACACTAAAATGCCTTTTGGTAACACATGGATTTCCTTGAGGTCCTATATCTTAACACTGACCTGACCTGAACCCGTCTAGCTTGTGAGATTTTGACCACAGCATGGGGTTGCAAACCGCCTTTGTAAAATTCTCTTCTTTTGGCTGGCAATTATGTGATAATGACTGAAAGGGTCAGTGTTATAGCTGACTCCATGCAATCACATCCTTATCTATCTTCTCAAAAGTAAGAACTGCCTCAAATACTACGCCTAATGCTGAAAAACCTACCACCTGTATTGTGCACATGGAAAGCACACAAGAACCATTCAGAAAGCCCACATGAGATTCATTTATGCAGTGGTGACCAACAATCTTATTAAGTCAAATGGTGTAATTTCAGTCTGATTTCTACTAGTAAGGTAGCTCTCGCTAATATTTGCATTGTACATTTTGCAGCAGAACTAGAGCTTGCAGGCAGAATAGTCTATGTGGGTGGTATAATATGGAAAGCCTAAAGCAAAGTACTTTCATTCTCTATCAAGGAGACGTTTGAAAACAGCGCAGCATCGTCCTGATGAATTGATTGCTGACTGGGAGGTTAATTGATTTTCCCCCTCTATACTCGCAGATAATCAAGGAGGGTTTTTCTAATCTAAGCGCACCTTTCTGAAGCTCCTTGGTCTCAAGTTCCCCTCCAGAGCTGCAGACAGTGACACCTGTTTGAGACTAAGGAGGAGTTGTTCAGTCTGAAAAAAGAAGAAAAGCACTCTGCTTCTCTAACATCCTCAGAGTCCATAAGAGAGCTGCAATGATTTCACAAAGAGCCTGTCTCAAGTTGTAATGCTGCAGACTCATACTCCCAGACCAATGGCACATCTGGTGTCCTCCCTAAGAAGCCTGCACCTCTCAATCTCATGATAATCACAAGCTGAAAGTCATTCTGCACCCTATGCGAGCTCAAGATAAGGTAGTCTAAAGATCCTCTAAGAAAGAATTTCTATTCAATGTAAGGTCTTTCTGCAAAGAGCAGAGTGCAACTTTGAATTCACCAGAATTTTAGCACACCCAGAGAAAGAAGCTGCCCTGTATGAAAAATCGGCTTTTTATTTGTCATACCATCTACAGATAAGGAGCATCTGCGCTGATAGTTTTTCCTTCTGAGAGGCATGTATTCAGGCAAGATAATTCAAACTACTTCTGAAGTGTTAGATTGGGAAGATTTACATGCCTTGTTACATGTAATCTGCCTTCTTTTCTAAATCAAGCCTGTGATAACAACATTGCACAATATACACTCTGTCTCAACTTGCAAGCAAGTTAGCAACATGTTTCCTCCACTTCATTAAGTTCTTTTCCAGTTCATTCCTATAAGCAAGGGGTGAAAAAAAACCCAACAAAACAACAACTTTAACCTAGCCAGAAACATCGCTGCAAAACAGAAAACTTCTGAAGCACTTATATCCCCCACAATCAAGCTTCCAAAAGGACTGCAAGAAAGTCTCTTTTACCAGCTTCCCTCCTCTCCTACTCCCTTCTCTAACTTTAGTCACTGAATAACTGAGGATGGAGAAATAAAAATGTTCCAAAATGTGACAAGCGAGTTCAACTTTCTGCCTGAAAGGAAGAGAGGGAGTTGGTTTAAGTTGCTTGCTACATAAATCCCCGTGCAAATCACTCTGATGCTCCTCTATGGCCATAAGGCTGCACTGCAGGGTACAGGACTGCCCTTACCTCAAAGTTAGTGGTAGGATGATTTGGGGGTGACCTCTGTTCCTTCGCTCTTTGTGCTGAAGTTCCTCTCCTGGGCTAAGAGTGCCTCTAAGTGGTCCCCTCCACTTTATAAAATATCCTGCAGCCACAGAAATGAGCTGCAGAAACCCTGGTGCTGCTTCCCCCCGGCAAATTTCACTGGAGTTATCCACACAAACCCCTCCCAAGGCCCACCCCCTTCAACCTCAGCCACACCACCTCGGCTAACGGGTGATATCATGGGCTTTTGTTGTAATCTGAGAGCTGTGGCATTCCTGGAGCACTGCACTGGAAAAAGTTAGTGGGATTTGCAAGCAAGGAGGTGAGCAGGGAAAGTGAACTTCTTCCCAGGAGGCCCCTAAACAAGAAAGCATTTGGGATCTCTTCACTGTGTGTTATTCCTCTTAATATTTATTTTGCAATAGTGCCTAACACCACCAATCAGATTGAAGGGGTCCTGATGGTGAGTGTTGCACCAATACACGGAAACAAGGTCTTCTATAACATGGGATCTTTTTATAACTGCTTCCCTTTCTAGGGCTTTTGTATACATTTGCAGTTTTCCTTCTCCAAGGCTATTTTTTCTAGGTTTCATCTCCTTTTAACCCCTTTGGCATTACATTCATCCTCACCCTGAAACCTACATACTGTTTTTCCCTACTTAGTACCCTAATTTAAGACAAAAACAGACAGCTGAGCCTCAGAAGTATTCAAGTATATCCGAAGTCTGGATATACATCACAGGCTACCCCAGCAATTTGCCAACTTACATTTTATTTATACCTCCTTTTCATCAAAACACTGACAGGAACTACAAAGATTTAATTCCTAACGAACCCCAGGCACACACTCTGGATGCAAACATACCTGACATTAGGGGTGTTTGAAATAGGAATGCAACAGGGGGAAGGAGGGAAAAAGATATATAAGTGTCAGGCCAGATGTGAATGGCCCCTAACCCTGGGGGACATAGAAATCCAGATCATCTCTAGTGTGAAAAGTATCCAGCCCTAAGCCTTTGACGAATGATCCTGTGTAGAGCAGACTTTCCAAAAAGAAAACCCCGTTTCTTCAAAACTGAAACATTTTGGGGGCGATATGTTCATTCCTATACCATTTTGACATAAGAAAGTAAATATGCTTCAAAAAAGCTGAAGTGTTTCATTTCACCTCTCATTTGGCTTTACTTTATTCTAATTTTGATGATAACATTATGATATTTTATTACATTACCCAAATGGAAGTGGCTGGTATTCCCATTCCAGAGACAATCTTGACATTTTAGTTTGCTGTTCCAGTTTAGAAAAAAAGAAAACAGTTTTGAAATGTCAGCATTTCCCCTGGAATGGAGGTTTGTTCTCTGATCAGCTCCAATGCTGGGATTTTCAAAGGACCCAGCACTCAACCTCAGAGAAAATCATGAGCTGAGGGCCTGACTCCTTTAGGCTCCACTGAAAATTCCACCTAAACATGGGTATCCTCTAGAAAAAAGGGACAAAGTGAAAACTAAGAGCCTGATGCCAAAGCTAGCCAAAGTCAGCGAGAGCCTTTCCATTTACTTCAGTGCATCTGGGATCAAGACCCGGTACGGCGACAGACCAGCTGGCAACCCGGTCCCCTCACCTTGGCCAGCACAGGATTGCTCTCCTCAGAGCATTCCAGCGATTCATTCTCTCCTGGCTTTGCAACCAGTTTCAAACTCAATTGTTCTGAAAAGCTCAAAATGCTTTATCCAAACCTCTAGACACAATAGCATGAGCTGGGCTGCAAATTATATGACGAGAGGTTCCCTTGTCTGATTGCTTCTGTCTCTCCTGCTTCTTGCTAATTTGTGGAGTGCTTTAATTTCTAAAATGTGATTTATTTTACAGTGATTGATCCTATTCCTCACTGAGAGAGCACTACTAGTGGGTTCAGAAACTGACCTAGAAATTGGCAAGTCCTAATCCTTAATCAGGAAGAGCAGTATTAAACAATCAGTCCCAACTCCGGTCTCAGGTCAGTATACAAAGCCTCATCAGTCTCTGATTCTGCCTCTAGAGCAAGCATCTAAACAAACTCACTTGGAGCAAAGACAACTTATTTCCCATTTCTACTGAGAAGTCTAGTGTCACCAGAAGATAGTAGATACTAACAGCACAACTCTACTAGCTTGGGAATTTACATTGCGTCTATACACCCCTGCAAACGAATATTGTATTGATACCCGCCAGGCAAGTTTCCCTGACCTTGTTGGGTTAACAAGCCTTACATTTATGCTGGGAAGGTCAAACAGACAGATTCACTCTCTGTGGCCCATTTTATTTGCGGGAACAGCAGGGCCTACGGCTCTTTAGGGCAAAGATCTTTTCTTGTACGAAGTCCTTGACACAACAGAGTTCTGGTCTGGGACTGGGACCTTTTGTTTTTTATTGAAATAAAGATAGAATAATACTAGGGCCCTGAATTTCTGAGGTAGCCCCAGCTGGACCCAACAGCACCACCTCATTTCATACAAAGGGCCAAGAACAGCTATTTGATGCGATTAAGAAGGATACCTCCAAGCTGGGGTGGAAAGCCCTGTCTTAGAGTGGCAAGTTTTCCAATATAAATCAGTTTAAGAGGAATTCTTTTTCTGATGGAGTTACTTACTCAGACTTTAACACGCTCAGTGGAATAAGGGTAAACTTGGCTCAAAGGCTGTGAAAAAAAAGCAAAATATGGAAAAAGGAGTGCAAGCAAACTGTCTGAGAGAGATCGACCAGAGCAAATGATGACAGAATTGCATGGGGAGAATTACAGCCAGATTCATAAGTATCCACTCCAGCCACTATTCATCCACTGCTGTGTGGAGACCTCATTGCCCAGAGCAAGTCCTTAGTCTTTACCTAGGCTAATGCCTTTGTTTCATCCACTCCTCTCCTGCCTTCTACACCAACGGCTGCCCTGTCCATCACTCAGTAAATTTTGTAAATGTTGTACCAAAGCTTTACCTATTTTACTCCAAGTGAGGAGCAAATCCTTAGATCTCAAATCAAGGTAGGGACAGAACCAGTTCAAGAACTCAGGATGATGCTATCAACCAATTAATCCATATGGAGTCTGATAGCACCCTCTTTTGTATGTAATTTTGGCTTCAACAATAAAAGGTGCTTCAAAGGTAAGATGTTTCACTGGCATGTACCAAGGTAAACCCACACTAAGCAAGAGGTAGGGAAGGATTTTCTATACAAGTAAGTTTATGGATGCTAAGCAGGGGTATGAGTTTGCAGCACATTGATGTTTCACTTTATTTTTCATGTGGATGCTCTTAGCACCCCCTGATACTGCTGTCATAAAAAGATAGCTTTGAAAGTAGAGTAAGCAGCTGCACATCTCATGCACCCAAATTGTATCAGCACCATCAAGTAGCCAGTGTGCTGTATATTCACACGCAAGCTACCTTTACGGCAACACTCCCCGTATCCAACCTCTTAGATGGAAACCTCTGGACTGATGCACTCTCAATTCCACTCTCCTTCAAACAATAGTAGGGAAGGCGGACATGTGAGCAAAACAACTGAAAGACTGTGCTCCAGGGCATCCTTGGGGCTTCCGATTTCCACCTCGATCATTTTCATCCTTTTAAAACAGGGAACCAGTGGTCAAGAAACAAAAAATTGCTATAAATGGGCATTTCAAAGTCACTGGCAACCAGTGCCACCTCGTGGTGTGAAGCTTAAACTGGTAACTTAGCAACACTCCCTGAAATGGGAATATGGAAGCAAAAATGTGTCACGACAGAAGCCCTGAATAACAGATCTGTTGCAGACTGTCAGGAAAATTAAGTCAGGCTGGCCAGAGAAAATGCATGAACATCTGCTTGTCTAGGCAACGAGCCCTATGACAGTCCACAGCAGGAATGCTCATCGCATGCCCAGCTACCGAGAGGTCAGGCAAGGATAGACAAGAGAAGAGCCATGCAAGCACCCATGCCAATACCCGCTTTTCACATAAAAGGTGAGACGTTCCCGGCAGCACCCTGGACACAAACTCATGGACACTTGTTGGGGTTTCCCCACTTCCTTCCCATATCTGGTCAAGGCCCGAAGCAGAGGTAATCCCCTCAGCAAATGGGAAGTCACCTCCTACCTACATGCCATCCTGGGTCAGGAAAAACAAAAGTGCAACTTTGACCGTGTCAACATTATAAAAACCAGAGCAAAGCCTGTTTAGTGGCTAAGGGAAAAATTCCCCATGTAAAATTCTTATGAACACTGGCATTTCCCAGACTTGTGGCTCTCACCAAACTGGCAAATTTTCCCCAGCAGTGATCACTACCAGCCTCTGCACAGGGATCAGTAATATGTCCCCTTAGAGTACGATAATCTTCTTCTGAGGGGAAAGAAAGAAATTTCTCCCTTCTATTTATAAGCAGCATGAAGATACCCCAAATGTGCTTTCAATCTAGCTAATAGAATTGGTTCCCTGTAGAAGTGACTCTTTAGTGACAGTCAAACAAATATCAAAGTGAATATAAATTGCATTTATCTTAAAATATCACCAACTAAAGGTTAAATGCAGTACGCAGTAACTGCCCATACAATTTAGGGATCTGTAAAGCAACGTTATCCAAGGGCCTGAACCAAAGCCCATCCGAGTCAATGGAAAGACCCCTTTTTGAGTTTTGTCTATTATTAATGGAAGGTCTAAGCCAACATGCACTTGGAGCCTGATTTTTGTAGCTGGGAAAACGAACTGACACGCACCATACGACTTGCCACGTGGACAAGCAAAACTCCAATTTGCACAAGCAGTCACGGTCTGTGCTTGCAGAAATTAGGTACGCACCATTAGTTCTCTTATCTTTCATGATTAGTCCATTGATCTTGCTTGTCCAATCTTCAGCACATTTGAAAGCCCTGCGAGGAACCATTGAGTGGTCCGAGCCCCGTGTTCTCCTCAGCTAGACTCTCTGGAGCCACAGGTCCGAATTTCATCTAGGTCGACTCGGCCTTTCATATTCACAAAGCAGATCAACTGACCTCTGTGCAGGTTGCTCTGTGCAGAGATTGCCGAGATGATACCTTAAGAACAGAAGGACCTGTTGGCTCTGCAGAAGCACTAATGATGCCGTGGAGCTTTTCAAAAAGCTGGGTCTTGTGGAATATTGCTATAAAGTTTAATTTGAGGAATATATCCACGTGGG